TAATTAAAGCAACAAAACAACCTGAAGAGCCGGTTCGGAGCCGAAAGAGCCGGCTCTTTTTAGTGAGCCGAGCCGAAGGGAGCCGGATCTCTAAAAAGAGCCGGAAATCCCATCACTATTGTGCTGCACTGGCTGATCTGACTATTTTAGAGACTGCTTATCTGTTTGCATTTTCCAGCACAAACATCTGTATAATTTACAGAGAGTGGTACCTGCCTTCATAAAACACTTTAATCTTTCATTATCATATTGGGATCATGCTGCTGTTCATTTGTTTGTTTTTGTTTTTTCACATTGTGTAATAATCACTGGCAGCCACATCTAAAAAATAGATCCTAGATGAGTGATTGTTTCTGTGGCAACACTTGCAACAATGCAAGAGGCTGTGAAACCATAAGTTTGATTCTCAGTTTCCTTTTAATCCTTTTTTATCTTTCTTATCATCACATTCAGTCACTATTTGCTTGTGTCCCTTCGTTGGACACCAAGGTCTGGATGAGCAGCAGGTCTGTGACCAGGAGAGGAGCTCCAGTCTCAACCAGGAGGACCCAGAGCCTCCACAGACTAAAGAAGAACAGGAGGAAATCTGCAGCAGTGAGGAAGGAGAGCAGTTTGAACTGAAGCAGAAGGATGAAAGCATTCATGTCTGGACCGGGGAAGAGCTGGATTTGTTGTGTAAACCTGGAGTAAAGCTGACCAGAATGGGTATGTTCATGTTCATGCTCAGTAAACTATACTATACTTTATGATACAGAAATGAATATGACTTGTATCAAAAAGCCAGGTGATGGGCTACAACTATATAATAGTGTAATGAGCTACAACACCATTACACCACCACACCAGGTGATGGTGTAATGGTGGTTGAGATATTTTCCACACACACTTAAAATGACACTGCACTGTACTCGGGTGGTCTCCAGAGTCACCAGCTCTAAACAAAACAGAGCACCTTTGGGATGTGGTGGAACATGAGATTTGAATCACGCATGTGGAGCTGACAGATATGCAGCAGCTGTCTGAAACTCTCATGTCAATATGGACCAAAGTATCTGAGGAACATTTGGTTGGGGTGAGAGAGGAAGAGGGAAACAAACACATGCTCTGGAAGAGAGCCAGTGATTAATAACAAGTAATGATTCATTACACTTACTATCTATCACTAGTACTAGCAACCTGTACCTAATAAAGTAACCAGTCAGTGTATATTTATCAGTAAAATATCAAAAGATTAGAATTAACAGCTTATCTGCCTTCTTAAATATTCAGATCATGTTACTTTTCATTTGTTTGTTTTTTCACACTGTGTGATGATCACTGGCATCTAAAAATGAGACCCCAGCTTATGAAACCATAAGCTTGATTCTCAATAGATGTTTTAATCTTTCTTGATCTTTCTTATCATCACATTAGTCACCATTTTCTTGTGTCCCTTTGTTGATGAAGGTCTGGATGATCAGCAGGTCTTTGACCAGGAGAGGAGCTCAAGTCTCCACCAGGAGGACCCAGAGCCTCCACAGACTAGAGAGGAAGAGGAGGAAATGTGCAGCAGTGAGGACGGAGAGCAGCTTGAACTGGAGCAGGAGGCTGAAGGCCTTAATGTGTGGACTGGGGAAGAGGTGGATTTGTTGTGGAAATCTGGAGTAAAGCTGACCACAGTAGGTATGTAAAACTGTAATATACAGATTACATATTAAAACGTCGGGTGATGACATGACAAAGACACGTGGCGTGTATTACCGTCTAGCATACTACCTCACTGAAGACATGTTTTCTGTTAGCACTGTAAAATATAAACCGGGTTCAACATCTTCTGTTTGTTTAATAAAAAACAAAAAATTTGAATTATGTTTGTCCAGTGAAGGAAGGTTGGAGTCTCAGGCTTAAGCCACAGCCTGGTCATGGCTTTTCTTGCTGCAGTGAGAAGAATCTTAAATATAAATCCTCTCTTTTAACCATATCATCAATATTTCCTAAAAAATAGTACAGTACAGTCCTCAGGAACCTTGTAACCTAAAACCTTTTGTAGAGTATCACCCACTGTTTTCCAGAATGAGTGATTTTTAGAGCAAGACCAGAAGATAAATCTTTGGTTCTTCATCAAATTGAGGTATAATTTAGATTTTTGTTGTTTTTTGTTGGTAGGCGTTGCACATCATTTCAATTAAAAGAGTTAATCATCTCAGCCTCAGCTATCTTTTTATTTTAGTAGTCTCGAGGTTGTAGATATCAAAACAAATCCTGGTTTTTCAATTCAAACATGTCTTTAAGCTCTTGAAAGCTCCTACCTTTGTCCTTTTTGGTAATTAAACAGAAAGCAGTCAGGCCCCTGTTGGTCCACTCTTTGAAAGCCTTGTCATATTGTCCTGGTTTAAAACTGTTTTCCAAGCTTATCCATCGGAACTTTTTGTGGCTATTTTTCAGTTTTAAATGTTTAACGATGGAGTACCACATTTGAAGTGAAAACTGGGTTATGGGATTGAGTTTGACTTAACAATGTCAGTTAAAGTATCTTTTCCTAACACTGTTTGGACATTATAGTCCATGCTATCTTGTGTCTCAATCTGTTTCCACTTTGCAGTGTATGAATTATGACACCATAGGCATAAAGGGCATAATTGTGCTGCCTGAAAATATGATTTAAAATTAGGCAAAGCCATACCCCCTTTGTCCTTTGGAAACTGCAGAGCCTTTTTATCCCCCCATATGAATCTTGACAACATCGGCTTTGGACCGAGAGACCGGTGAGCCCGTTGTATTTGTGGGTCAGTGCCATCAGGTATTAGCCTCTCTCTTCTGATCACATTTTCAACAAAGCTTATTACCGAGCTGCCCTCTTCTCCTTCTGGGACTCCGTAAATTTGCAGGTTATTTCTTGTCGATCTAGACTGAAGATCTTCTAGCTTTTTGCCACTCGTGTTTCCGCTTCCTCAAGTTTCTCACCGTATTCTTGGACTGCTAGCTTATTAGCCGTTAGCTGTTGGTTTGTGTCTTCTTTGAATTTATTCAGGTCTTCTTTCAACTCAACCCTGAAATCTTCTTTGAATGCGTTGAAGTCAGCTTTCATCTCCGTCTGGAGGTCAAAGATTTGTTGGCTGATATTTTTAATGCCCTCTTGCAAAGATTCGAGTTTGGCCCCCTCGCCGTTTTCTTTATCTGAGTTAGCCATATCAGCATGCGTGTTCTCTCTCTCTTCTGGAAAATACAGTTCAGTTGGTTCATGTATCTTGTTCCGGCATTGTTTTAAACATAGAAGTGGTAAAAAGAACTTGAATTTAAGGGGAAATTTGCTCGGCCCCGACGAGCTCAGAAATTACGCAGCCATTTTGCCTCGCTGCCAACCGGACAAGAGATAATATTTAAAAAATTTGTGCACCTTATTTATTGCTCACATATCTGAGAGACATGCTCACAGTGTAACTTTTTTCATGTTTGTTGTCATTTGTTCCATCAAGACCTCCCACAGCAACATGATTATAAGGAAAATGAGGATCTGGATGACCCACAGGTCTGTAGCCAGGAGAGGAACTCCAGTCTCAACCAAGAAGACCCGGAACAGGAGGAAATGTGCACCAATCAGGAAGGAGAGCAGCTTGCACGTAACCAGGAAACCAAAGGCATCATCGTCTGGACTGGGCAGGAACTAGGCACCATGTGGAACCCTGAAGTAAAGTTAAACAGAATAGGTATGCAAAATTGTAATGGGTAGATTTCTTAATACAAAACTGAATATAACTCATGTTGAGTCCTAATCTGACCTCAGCGATATGTTATAGAGGTGCATGAAGAATCGAAGGACCAACTCCAATAAGGAAACTGACGCATATTTTAAGAGCCAAAATTTCTGGCCTCCCAGCCAAGTCTTGTCCGTCGAGGTGGTTCTTCTTTTTTGTGCCATGCATTTATGAAGTGGTTGCTTAGTCTCTCCAATGTCCAAGAAACTCCTATGCGTCCGACAAGTGTGTCCTCCTTTTACCCAGATTTGAAGGAGGGGTCGGGTGTATACTTCGTGGCCCAACATATCCTAGAATTTGTAGCGTGGCCCAGCCAAATCCAGTTTCCAACAATGGTGGCAGCTACTTAGTTTTAATATTACTCTTTCTGGGTGACAAAATAAACTTTTAAGATATTTTCAAGTGAGAATGTAGCTTTGTAAACTTCACATTTCTGCTCGATTTATCAAGACGTCACATATTTGCAAAAGTGCGCCAACGTTTTCGGAGACGTCTGTTACCCACCAGCTTGATAACTAGCCGGTGTTCAAGGCTCACTACAGCTCAGGATAAACATGCTATATAACTCACTTAAATAACTTTTAAAAAGTTATTGTTTGGCTTTTTTCAGTGTTTTATTTGTTCCTGAGTAAATCGGTTTGGCTGAGATTAAAGTTGTAACACTATGATAGTTGTGTCCTTGTGCCGTGTGTTTCTGGGTCTTTCTTTCTTCTTCTGTCCCTTTGGATTCCAGCACAAGGCCTATGTAGTGATGTTATTGGTGGACTTCCTGAGGGTGTGGCCAATCCAGCACCACTTTCTTCTCATTATTGGTATTACTATTGGTTCCTGGTTTGTTCTTGTCCACAGTTTGTAATCTTCTCTGGCCACTAGATACAGAGGATTTGTTGCATCCTCTGCAGCTGTTGATGAAGGTCTGCAACATACAGAGCACTGCCTTTGTCCTGCTCCATGTTTACGAACTATAGAAAAGTTTCAATTTAAAATTTCCGCCCAATCGATTCTCGTTTTGTTTGGGCAGTTTAAAGAATTACATGTTTTCTCTGCAGCATGGAATGGAAAAAATGATTTAAACAGATTTTATATTCTGCTTTCTGGAATATACAATTCCAAACTTAAATTGATCATAAGAGGAGCGTTCTCTGCAAAACCGCTTGTCCCCCCAACATGCCTTTAATTGCTATATCTGTGCAACATGCTTACCATGTGGAGACCTGCTAATGGCTAATTTCTCAAATGTATGTTTTTGGTGTTTTTTTTAATCTGTTGCTTCAGATTTACCACAACATGACTGTAGGGATGACGGAAGGCTCACAGATCAGCAGGTCTGTAACCGGAAGAACAACTCCACTCTGGACCAGGAGGATCCTTTGCAGATTAAAGGGAAACAGGAGAAACTCAGTACCACTCAAGAGGGAAAACCGCTTGTACAAAAGCAGGAGACTCGAACATTTCCTGCCTGTAAAGAAAGTGACCACAGAGAACCAGGACCAAGCAGTGACCAGCTCCTTTCTCACAACTCTCCTGACACAGATAAGGACGAAAGAAAGGATGATAATTCACACAGTATAAAGTCGGCGCAAATTGTATCAGGACTGACAGTTCAAAATTCCAAGACAGCACATTTATGTAGCACCTATGGGAAAAAAATTAATTCTAAACCAAACTTGAATCAACATATACAAATTCACAAAGGTGAGAAACCACATTCTTGCGGCACCTGTGGGAAAAGATTTAGTTTTATGTCAGACGTGAAAAGACACATGCAAAGTCACATAGGTGAGAAGCCACATTCTTGTAGTACCTGTGGGAAAAGATTTCGTTGTAATTCAGACTTGACTAGGCACATCAAAACTCACACAGGTAAGAAACAATATTCTTATAGCACTTGTGGGAAAAAATTTAATTTAAAATCAAGTTTGAAATCCCACATAACAATTCACACAGGTGAGAAGCCATATTCCTGTAGAACATATGGGGAAAGATTTAGTCTAAACACACAGTTGAAGAGACATATGCAAATTCACACAGGTGAGTGGCCATATTCCTGTAGCACTTGTGGGAAAGGATTTAATTTTAAATCAAGGTTGAAATCCCACATAACAATTCACACAGGTGAGAAGCCATATTCCTGTAGCACATGTGGGGAAAGATTTCGTCTAAACATACAGTTGAAGAGACATGCAAATTCACACAGGTGAGAAGTCTGAGTCACAGAGAGGGCCCAAACTGTCCAAAGTTGTAGAATCCCCTAATTAGTGAAATTTATAGCTTACATTTATTAGTGCAACTTGTTTTAAAGGCATGAAAATCTGTAGTATTAATAGGGCTGGACATCGTCACTGATTTCTAGAATCGATTCGATTCCGATTCATAAGGTCTCGAATCGATTCGATCCACAATTTGATTTGAGTCAATTTGAATCTGGGAAATTTTGCCTCAGTTAGAAATATTATTATTCTGATCACGTATCAGTACATATCCATATTTTTATATCTATAAAAAGGAAGCTGACACTTGCGAGACTTTATCAAAGGTGTAAGCAGCATTTGTGTAAGTAATTGAGGATAAAAGACAGAAAAACATGAAGACAATCAGGGGAGATTTTAGCACATTTTTGGGGGTGCTTCAGTGTTTCAATATTTATCTTTTATTAGATCGTGTGGTTTGGTTATTTGGTTATTTATGCAAGACAAATGTTGAATATTGTAGAGGAAGCAAAGTTGTGTAAATTGGATACACTGGTCAAAGTGAGACATTAATAAAAACATTCTATAAATAATTGTTTTTAAGAAAAAAAATTGTAAACAATTAAAGAAATAAATCTAGTTTAAAATTGGAATTAAATAAGTTTAAAGAAAAAATATGGATAATTATATAATAAAGGATGAGCAGCTGGTGACTCCTCTCCAATAAAGGGGTTTAGAAGTGCCCTGGGAGTCTTCATTTTTATCTTTGTTGGCTTTTGGCCTGCATGTGATTAAGGAAAACACTGTAGAGGGCTTTACTTTTCTTTCTAAATTTTTGTTTATCTCGTCTGTTCAATAAAACTGTTGGCACCAAACTTCACTCATCTCCTGTGATTTTTGTCTTTTGGTTTAAATTGTGTTCCAAAAACCTGAATCAACATCTTTCTGCCCTGAAATTCTGCAAACCCTTTAAATTGTGCGACCTGACAATCCTGCTGTTCTTTGAAAAACTAAAAGTACTTCCAAACGAGTTGTTAACAAGTTGCTTCGTGTGATCTGAATTTTGGTGAAGCAACTGACCAGAAAGATTCAACACTTTCAGAGGGCTTCATCATGCCGACTTCCTTGATTCTCGTCCTCACTTTCCAGGTCTTCCACTATACTCCACAAATGCCCTCTGGAGTTGTTTTTAAGAACAAAAGTGGATCATATCATACCAAACAATGAACACACATCTCCTCTCTGCCAATGTTTCTATACCACCATCAGTGATGTGAAAACAGGTTGTTCAAACAAATCTGTAATGGTTTTTGTTTTTATTAAATTAGCCAATTAGACATCACAGTGGATTTTATTAATGCAGTCCACATTTTATTAGGAGTTACTCAACAGGATTAATTCAAACCAGCGTGCTATTTAATTAAATAACACATAATTATTAGAGAAACCTCTCTCTCTCAGAGCTTCCGTTACACCAATTTGTATCATAATGTTTAATGTTTCTAGGCGTAGCCAAGTGGCGGAAGGCTTTCACTTGGGTGGTCTCAGAATCTCCTCTCTGGTTTTCACGGTTCGCAGCCGAGTGTGAAGCGGTGGGAATGACACTCAGCACCTCCAAATCTAAAGCCATGGTCCTCAGCCGGAAAAGGGTGGAGTGCCCACTCCGGGTCAGGGACGAGTTCTTGCTCCAAGTGGAAGAGTTTAAGTATCTCGGAGTCTTGTTCACGAGTGACAGGAGCTCTCTCACATAGGGAGAGGCCCTAGAGGTCGACGACTGTAACAG